TTGTTTTTGTTGTTTTTGTTATTGTTGTTGCTGTTGTTGAGCTCTCACCTCTGCAGAATAATTATTCTTGATCCCCCCCGTCCGGTGCACATTGCTTTTTCGATTGAAGTGCCCTTCCTGGGGCTCGCATCCTGTTTTCAATCAGGGAAAATCTTGAAGGTCAAACTGTGTCGTTGGCCCCCGGTTTACAACAACAACGGCTCCCGCCTGATACTTCCTCACAATGTATTGAAGAATCGCGCTCTCGCTTGGGATTTCCTTGCGATTTACCACCGGATCGCGGCTCCCGCTTGATACTACCTTACAGTGGATTGAAGAATCGCGCTCTCGCTTGTTCCTCGCTACTTACCACCGGATCGCGGCTCCCGCCTGATACTTCCTCACAATTGATTCAGATGCCGCTCCTCGAAACTCAGGAATCGCGCTCCCGCTACATATTGCCTGGCGGTTCAAGCAGAATTTACGCTTCAACGACCCGCCCGCTCGACCCGCCCGTCTGGGCCTGCCCGCCCGACCAGCCCGTTAGAGACTACAGTCGCCGCTCGCTGCCCTTCGCCCGCCTTCGATGCCCCTCGCTGCCCGTGCTGGTTCCGCGGCCGCCTTCGCTCGTTGCCCTTCGTGGCCCCGTTGCTGCCCTCAGTGGCCCCGTCGCTGCCCATTGTGGCCCCGCATCCTATGCCTTTCGTGGCCCCCGCTCGCAGTCGCCCGTCGTGGCCCCATACGCATGCCCTTCGTAGCCCCGCTGTCGCCCTCCGTGGCCCTCTCGCTGCCCTTCGTGGCCCCTTTGCTGCCCTCAGTGGCCCCGCTGTCGCCCTTTCTGGCCCCATATACGAATGCCCTTCGTGGCCCCCGCTCGTTCGCGCCCGTCGTGGCCCCATATGCATGCCCTTCGTGGCCCCGCTGTCGCCCTTCGTGGCCCCCTCTCTGCCCTTTGTGGCCCCGTTTCTGCCCTCAGCGGCCCCGTCGCTGCCTTTTGTGGCCCCGGACTAATTGCCCTTCGTGGCTCGCATTCCGCATTTCCCCCTAAATTATTCCCAATCCCTCCTCTAGATTCCTCCGTGCGCCCCCCGCTCCTCCGCACTCCTCCCGGTTCCTCTTCTCCACTCCTTGCCGCTCCTCCTCCTGAGACCCTACTCTTTCATCCATCCCAATCCACTCCACATCCCCGCGCTCCTCCCGACACGGTTGCAGTTCTCACTTTCCCTCCGCCCCACTCTCCCAACATCCCGCTTCTTTTCAGGGTTCGACGGAATTTGTTCCTGACACCAGTTCGCAGCTGTACGTCCCCCCGTGGGGGTATCCACGGTGTGTTCTTTCAAGGGGGTGGTACGTGGCGCTGTTTAAGACGCGACCCATGGCGAAACTGATTGTTAATTTGTGTTGGAGTGGCTGGCGCAAGCCATGGCGTAAGCTGAATCGCCACTCGCAGCGCAAATCATCGTCCTCCCTCCTTCTTGGCCCTCCCCTCCCTTCCTCCGATCCCTTCGTCCTCATTCTCCCCCGTTATCTGTTACCTTTCGTTTTCTTGGGCTTCACCAACCACACGTGGCAGGGAATGGAAGAACCCCCCAACAGGGGGTACGATCGAAGACGAAGAGGGCGGGCATCCGGGGTTTGGGATATGCATATTTATTGACACGCGAGCAGATAAGAACGAAAAGTCTTAAACTGATTGTTGTTGTTGTTGTGGTTGTTGTGGTTGTGGTTGTTGTTGTTGTTGTTGTTGTTGTTGTTGTTGTTGTTGTTGTTGTTGTTTGCTGTCGTCGTCGTCCCCCCCGCGACCCACCCGCAACCCACCCCGCGACCCACCCCGCGACCCACCCCGTGACCCACCCCGCGACCCACCCGCGACCCAACTCGCGACCCACCCGCGACACACTTGCGACCCACCCGCGACCCACCCGCGACCCACCCTGCGACCCACCCCGTGACCCACCCGCGACCCACCCCGCGACCCACCCGCGACCCACCCGCGACCCAATTGCGATCTACCCGCGACCCACCCCGCGACCCACCAACGACCTACCGGCGACCGATCCACATTTGTTTGAAGAAAAAATCGGCGCCTGCGGCAGGATCGTTGTATAATGTGTGAAACTTTGGCGCCTGCGGCGACTGCCGACGTCCCCACCGCCCCCTCACTCTTATCCGCATCTGCGGAGTGCTACGTATATGTGTATATAGTTATGCGTATATGTACATATTCATGTGCACATCCGCATGTGTATGTGTTGTTGTTGCAAAGGGCAGGCCCATAAACTCAAATCCCCTTCCTATGGGCCGGTTTCTCGTCCTGGATCGTCTCCTGATGGCCGGGGTGAAGCGAAAGCGGCGCCTGCAGGCCGCCACATAATGACTCGAACAACAAATTCGCCAGCTGTCCTGGCAGGAACACCAAAATCACATGGCAGCAACGACAGAGCCGCAGCACACCCTGCGATGGAGCAGCGACCGACAAAATCAGGCGTGCCACCCCCCGCCTTTCCAAGCTCAGGGCGGAATCATATTCGATCCCAGCTCCCGATCGCCCTTGCCCATGTCCTTGAATTGGAGGGTGGGTTCCTGAACTGCTCCTCCTTTCTCTTCCTTTACCTCCCAGGACTCCTCCCATCCCTTCCCTCCTACTAGGACACATTCCTCCTTTTTCCTTCCTCCTCTTTCCCTGTTCCTCTCAGGACTTTTCCTTCCTCTTCTTGGACTCCTCCTTCTTCCTACATCTCAGTTCGAGGGTGGGCTCCTGGACTCCCCCTTCCTCTTCACTAGAAGTCAGGAGAAACGCTAGTCAAGATCGCCCGCTCATCCTGCGCTGCTGCCGCTGCTCCTGATCCTTCTCCTCCTCCCCCTCCCCACTCCTCCTGCTCTCTTCCTTTGCCTGCTTCCCTCCCTCCCAGGCCACCTAAGTTCGCAGATTGGCCAGCGCGAGAGGCTCTAAGGAGATAGCGCCGTCGCGCCAGCGCCACCGGCTCCCGGCAGTCTGTGCTGTGCGTCGACGCGGGGGGAAAAAGGACGCGAGACTCGAGCAGACGACGGTGAACGCGCAGGCGGGAGGCCAGGGCCAGCGGACGAAGCGGGGGGGAGGCGGGAGGGGAGGGCCCTGGCAGTCCGAGGAGGTCTCCGCGATCTATGGAAGTCCCCAGAAGACCCGACACGGCGAAACACGTCCAAACATATCGAGGCTCCTCCTCCTCCTCCTCCTCCTCCTCCTCCGCCCCCTCCTCCGCCCCCTCCTCCGCCTCCGCCTCCGCCTCCTCCTCCTCCGCCTCCTCCTCCTCCTCCTCGCCACGGGTGCCACCGAGGCCGCCCGAACGCTGACCTGACCGATCGGACGTGGAGCTGCCGCCTCGGGGTCACAGCGAACCTGGGGAAACCAAAATTTCGGCTCCACGTCAGAGCTACCCTGGGCAAGAATGGCCCTCGGTGCGCGACTTTCGGGGGCGGTGGGGAGGCCGAGCTGGAGCGCGCATACACCAATACCGCTACGGACTCCCCAGACCTCACCCGGGGTGCGTTCTGGCCTGAAGTTCGAAGCAGAGCCGGCCGTGGCGATCGGGCCTCACAGGAGGCCCAGCACGGCGAATAGAAGTGGAAGGGTCGAGGTATCGGAACCTTGCCTCCTCTGGAAATCATGTCAGCACTCGGGCCTCCCTGGTAGCGCATGAAGGACTCGGCCGATCCCAACGCCGACCGTACCCTCGTTCTCATCCCGACTGGCTTCGAGCCGGATCCGTGGGGAGAGGTGCAGCAGTACTTGCAAACGCTGGTGCCTGGATGCAGGAGTTTGCGCGCTGGGTCAGTCGTTGCGCTGTGGATGCGCTCCTGCATCTTTCCTCACGTGCAACCGGTGTCGTCGCCCGTGCAGTGGTTCGCGCCCCCCTCCCCCCCCGCAATTGGTGCGCACCAGTGCGCACAATACTGTGCACACTCGCAGTCATCGTGCTATACCGTGGCCGCGGCGAGCCCCGGCCACGAAAGGCCCCCCCGACCTCGAGCTCAGGCACGGGCCGAAAGCCAGGGCCCCTCCTGAACCCAAAGCGATCCTCACTTCAGCACCTCGACAGAATGAGCAATCGCACCTGTCGCCTTGTGTTGTTCCCAGAGTACTTAAGGACCACATCTCAGAGATAAGTTTGAGCCCCCAGCAAAGCCTCGAACCAGTGCCTGCCCGACACACCAGCGGGGTGTCGAACGTGTACCACCTCCCAGGGCCCGACACGTGGAACACCCTGCAATTGCGGTACTTTCTTGGTGCTCGGAGGTCTTGGTGCTCATCCACGTTGCAGTAGGTTGAAACATCGGAACTCTCGCCGCCAGCCCATCCGCACCAGACCCAACTCGCCATCGCTCGGACGTTCCTTCCCCGTGCATTTGTCGACATCGTGCGTGCATTTTCCCCTCGGGAACTAATATGCCCCTTGCGCCAGACCCAACTCGCCATCGCTCGGACGTCCCTTCCCCGTGCATTTGTCGATCTCGTGCGTGCATTTTCCCCTGGGGAACTGGTCTGCTGTGGCCATCGCCTTGAACAAATGCACATGCCCGAGCGATGCCAAGTGATGGGTGATTGCACCTCTCTCGCCGCCAGCCCACCTGCGCCGGACCCAGCTCGCTCGGCCGCCCATTCCCCGTACATGTTTTCAATTTCGCGCGTGTGTACTTGTCCGCAAGATGATCGAATGTGCTCCTCGATGGCCCTCGCCGAGAAAAATACAAGCACGTCCGGGCGATGCCAAGCAGTGAGCGGTTGCACCTCTCGCCGCCAGCCCACCTGCTCTCGGGGGCCTCTTGGGGCTCCTGGGGGCTTTTCGGGGCGGAGGGCTCGGATCGTCGGCTCGTGCTCTCCTTCTGGGGCCGTCCCCTGGAGCCCTCGCTCGGCGTCCTGGGCGCCTCTTGGGCCGTTTCGGGGCCCTTCCGGGCAGCGCCAGGCCCCACCTCCCCAGCACAGGCGGGCGCTGCCCAGGGCAGCGCGGCGCAGGAGCGCAGCCCGCCCGCGGGGGGCGTCTTCAGCCGCCCGGGGGCGCCACCCCGCGCCCGCCTGGCCTCAGGCTGCCGAGGGGCCGCAGCCCGTGCTTCTGCGGGGCGCTGCGGTCTCCCTGGGCGGGGGGTCCGTCGGCGCCGCCGCCGCCGCCGCCGCCGTCGTCGTAATCGTCGTCGTCGTCGTCGTCGTCGTCGTCGTCGTCGTCGTCGTCGTCGTCGCCGTCGCCGTCGCCGTCGCCGTCGCCGTCGCCGTCGCCGTCGCCGTCGCCGTCGTCCTTGTCGCCGTCGCCGTCGTTGTCGTCCTCCTCGTCGTCGTTGCCGCCGCCGCTGCCGCCGCCGCCGCCGCCGTCGTCGTCGTCGTCGTCGTCGTCATCGTCGTCGTCGTCGTCGTCGTCGTCGTCGTCGTCGTGGTCGTCGTCGTCGTCGTCGTCATCGTGCACCGAGGCGTCTCAGGCAGCTGGCGACATGGCAACGACACATGAACGGAGGGAAGGTCTCGCCCTCGAGCTGCCTGGCAGACAGGCCAGGCACCTCGCAACATTTACTGTGCATCGCCCCTGGCTCTGAGTCTGGGGGGAAGTGCTGGTGAGTGGGGGGTTCGAGGCGGCCTGGGGGCCTGAGCTGGTAGGGGCCCCAGAAAATCGGCCAGGACGGGGGGCTGAAGCCAAATCCGCTCAATGACTACCTGCCAGACCACCCCAACCCAACCCGAAGACCCGAATTTGACCCGAATTTCGGGTGGGGGGGTACGGGTTCCATGTGTTTTTCCCATGTTCCCCGACTCCCCCCCCACTGGAAATGGAGGGCAAATTGAGGTCTTCGGGTTGGGTTGGGGTGGTTTGGTGGGCGGTGACTCAAGATCGGTCCACGAGCCCCTCCCAGGGTCCATCTGGTGCAATGTTTCACCCTGGATGCGTTTTGGAAAGTCGGGCGAGAACACCATTCCTGGGATTTCAATGTCGCATATCAGCGTAACTGTTGTGCCCTGACGATCCCGAATCGTTCTGAAACGCCATTTCTGGTAATTACGATAACCAAGGGAAGCCATGCAATTCTTACACATGCCTTAAAAAGAATGCGCGCGGCGCTGAAGCGAGAACCGCATTTAGAAAAAGAAACGTCCTCAATCCGCGAAGCTCTTGCAATTTTTGAAATAGAACGCGCGCGGCGCTCCGGCGAGAACCATATTTTGAAAACCGCCCACCCTCAACCCGTAAACCTCCTACATCTTGAAAACGAATGTGCGCGGCGCTGAGGCGAGAGCACATTTTGAAACGGACCGCCCTCAGTCGGTGAAGCTCTTGCAACTGTTGAAATAGGATGCGCCCGGCGCTCAAACGAGAACCACATTTTGAAAACGGCACGCCCTCAATCCGTGTGCAATGTTGTAAGACGAATGTGCGCGGCGCTAAAGCGAGAACCATATTTTGGACGCGACCCGCCCTCCATCAGCGAAGCTGCTGCCAATGTTGGAACGTCCGCATCATAAGTGGCCAGGGGGTCTCAAGCGAAGCGCCTGGCCCGTCCTTCCGACGTGACTCGGGGTGCGACACGGAGGGATCAGTTCTCAGGAAGATGAATGGAGGCCGAGCGGGCCGAGGAAGAGGACGAGGAAGAGGAGGAGGAGGAGGAGGAGGCCGAGGAGCAGCTGGCAGCAGCGGCGGCAGGCTGGGGCTCAGGGTGAGGACGCGCGCTTGGACGTGGACGCTGTGCGCCCGCCCCACTGCCCGCTGTCCCTTTCCGGCGCCGCCGCGAAGATCGCCCAGGCCTCCTCCCAGCGGCCGCCCCCCCCCGCGCACGCCCACCGCGCGTCCGCGAGGCTCCAGCCGTCCGGGACGGCGGTCTCCGTCCAGCGGTCCGCCTTGTTGACGGGGAAACGTCGACCCCCATCCCAGTCTCCGGGGGGTTTTGAATGGACCAGACCTTTGGGGCCCAACCCGGGGACATACGAGGGGGGGCGTCCATCCTCGACAGGGGTGTGTCCGAATAGCTCCCTGGGGGTGCATCCCAGGGTTTCCCTCCTTTTCTTAGCCGCTTCATTTTTCGTCGAGAAGTCGGGGCGACTCTTGACATGAAGAAGAATTGGCATGCTGATATATGATAATGCGGCAAGTTCGTGCGGCGACGCCCTGGGCGTTGGTTTCTGACACCGCGTGGATCCTTGGAACCTGAACGAACGCAGCTTCCCGGTAGCGCAGATCGTTCGATGTCGGCCGGTGCCGGGCCACTGGCAACGTTCAAGCTTGAACGCCCGCGCTGGGGTCGCCGTCGCGTCAACGCGGCGCGAACCTACCGTTCACCCTCGGAGGTCAGCAAGGGCTGCCTGGATCTGCGCTGGGCCATCCTCGGCGTGCACGCAGGAGCGACTCTGGGCAAGCGTGGCCGCTGTTGCGCGGCTTCCGGACGCTGTGGGGGGGGGGGGCAGATCCAAGCGCGCGGGCCAGTGTTAGATCGGGCCTGTCCTCCTACAGGGGGATTGTTGACGAAAAATAGAAAGTGCTCAAAAAATATTCAACATATGCTTAAACATACAAAAAAAATAGACCCCAGGCTATTTTTGGACTATTTTTTTTGAATATTCCCCCTGTAGAGGGACAGGCCCGACTGAAGGCCAGTGCTGGGGGATCCCCAGTGGGCCAGTGCTGGCGGCGCCTCCGGCACCGCCCCGGGCTGGCCTGCTCGCGGGGCGCGCCGGGGAGGGGGGGGGAGCGCAGCGCCGGTCCGAGGAATCCGAGCGGACCTCCGAGCGTTCGCGCCCGTGCCGATGTTTCGTCTTCTTCTTATTATTATTATTCTCCTTACTGTTATGGTTTTCTTATTGTTATGGTTTCCTTCTTATTGTTATGTTTTTTTTTTTTCTTCTTCTTCTTCTTATTGTTTCCCTCCTCCTCTTCTTCTTATTGTTATGGCTTTCTGATTATTATTCTTCTGCTTCGTCACCTGCACGCCGAGGGTCTGCATCTCGTGGAGCAGCTGGAAGGCGCGGGCGGGCTGCCGCCCCGCGGCGCAGGCGTCGATGGCCACGTTGTAGGTGGCCGCGTCGACCCAGACGGTGCGGCTGACCATGGTGAACACCACGCGGAGCGCCGCCTGCCACCGCGACGCCTTTCGGCGGCGAGTGAGGGGGGGTAAGCGAGAAGGAGAAGGCCTTCTGAGAGGGTTCGGAAGGTCCCCCTGGCATTCTGAGAAGTTTTCTGAGCCTTCCCCGAAGACGCAGAAAACTTAGTGATCATAAGGCCTGCGGGCTTCTGAGAAGCCCCGCCGCCTTTTCTCATTCTCGCTTCCCCCCCTCGCCCGCCGCCGAGCCTTGGCGCACGCGCTCAGCGCTGCGCAGTACACGTGCGGCTCGGTCGCGGCACGCTCCAGGTGCGCGTCCTCGAGGAGCGCCAGGGCGACCTTCGAAGACGCAGCCGAAGGCGCAAACACAGCACTCCTCGGAGCTCTCCGCGCGGAGTCGTGCATCGGCACTGGCCCCCCTGGAGCCGACCCCCCGGCGCCAACTCCGCGCGCGCGCCGGGGAGGTGGGTGCGGCGCTGATCCAAGTAATCTGCGCGGAGCTCCGAGCAGTTATGTTTCTGCACTTTTTATGTTTCTCCTCCCTCCTCCCTCCTCCATCCTCCCTACTCCCTCCACCCTCCTCCCTCCTCCATCCTCATCCTTCCTCCTCCCTCCTCCCTCCTCCCTCCTCAGTCCTCCTCCTCCTCCAACTCCTCCTCCTCCCTCCTCCTCCTCCTCCCTCCCCTCCTCCTCCTCCTCCTCCTCCTCCTCTCCTCCTTCCTCCCTCCTCCTCCTCCTCCTCCTCCTCCTCCTCCTCCTCCTCCTCCTCTCCCCCTCCTCCTCCTCCCCCTCCTCTGCATCCACACCTGCCACTTCTTCGCCCGGGCGCATGCGCCGATCGCTGCGAGAAACGTCTGGGTATTCTTGTCGACGCCCGTCAGCCAGAGCTCCCTCATCAGACTCAGGGCAAGCTCCCACTGAGCATCGGATTCGCAGGCGCGCAGTACAGCATTCCAAGTGCGCTGGTTTGCGTCGAGTCTGGCTTCCGGCATTGCCCGCAGCAGCGATAAGGCACGCTTCCAGCCCATGTCGAGGTCGCCCTTGTCGCGCTGTCGCCAATCTGCTGCCCTGGCGCCAAGGTCCGAGTCACGGGCCAACGAGTCAATGATCCGCCACCTTGCCCCCTGGCACGTTGAAGAAGTAAGTAGAAACATGAAGAAGGAAGGCGTTGAAACTAGATTGGGTTCCGTCCGCCCCCTTTGGAGGACGGAAAAGGTGAAGCCACTCGATCATGCAAATAGGACGGCGCTTAAAGTCGATTGGAACCTGACAACCCCCAAAATACATACTTTCAACGACCGGCGGCTATGGCTCAGCCCCTCTCGTCGCATACAGGCGCGTGCACCGTCCACCCCCCCCTCCCTTCCTGTGGCTCCCCGGGCGGGCCCGGCGCCTGTTCGGGGGCCTCCGAGGCTCTCCAAGGCCGTCCGAGACGCCTAGGCAGGCCACTGAGGCCGCAAAGATGGCCCAACATCCCCTCAAGAGGCGCGCACCACCCCCTCAGGCCAGGATCATCCAACAAACGTTGGCATCCGTAGGTTTTTGATTGCTTGGCCGCTCTTGGGCCTGTCGGATCAGGATGGATCCAAGCAGGCAGGGGGCGGACAAAGAGATGCGACCAGAAAACAAGAGACGGCCCAAGAGGGGCCCTTGACCGACCAAAAGAGGACCCCAAGAGGCCCCAAAAACGACAGCCCTAAGGGGATTCCATGGACGGCCGGTAGGAGCACAATACGGCCAGAGAGGGCCCCGAAACAGCCCCAGAGGGACCCAACCTCGAGGATGAGGAGGAGCAGGAGGAGGAGGAGGGGGAGGAGGAGGAGGAGGAGTTGGATGATGATGATGATGATGATGATGATGATGATGATGATGATGATGGTGATGGTGATGATGATGATGAGGAGGAGGAGGAGGAGGAGGAGGAGGAGGCCAGGCAACTTTCTGGGAAGTGCTCGGGGGAGCGGGGCTCGCCGCAGGCAGCCGCACAATGTTGTAGCCTGCCTCGCTCGGCCCCAGCTCACCACGGCCTGGCCCGCCCATCAGGCCCAGGCAGCGCCGCCACTGCTGGCCGCGCGAGCAGCTGGCCTGCGGACGGAGGAGGGACACACACACAAACACACACACAAACACACGCACACACGCACACACACATACACACATACACGCATACACACATACACACATACACACATACACGCATACACACATACACACATACACACATATACACATGTCCCACCCGTTTCTTCACCAGAGATGGTTCGATCTATATGGAGAACGGCGGGCTGGCCGGCGGGCTCCACCATGAAGCACGTGCTTGAAGTGACCAGCAGATCATTAACGGAAACATTTACAAGGAGGAGGGGAGGGAGGAGAAGCGCTTGAGAAGAATGCCAGCGGACAGTGGCATTGACGGCAAACGGGATGGCAGGACACGGAAGTTTGAAAACGCCGCCATGTCCCACCCGTTTCTTCACCAGAGATGGTTCGATCTATATGGAGAACGGCGGGCTGGCCGGCGGGCTCCACCATGAAGCACGTGCTTGAAGTGACCGAAGACCCAAACCTGGCCTCTGGCCGGCACATGTCAATTACACACACGGGACAAATTCTCGAGGTGAATCCGATCCGCGGCACGCGACAGCCAACGGGCCATTGCGCGGGCAGCGGAGGGCGGGTACGGCTCGGCTATGGAAGTCCAGTGCCGCCCGCAAGGGGCTTTACCCTCGAGAGAGATATGGGGACGGCCAGAGAATGAGCACCTGACCCCGGCGCCATGGCAACGGCGGGCCAGCGCCTCACGGGCTGCGCCGCAGTGCCACGACGCCAGGCGGGTGCTCTTTCTCCAACGCGTCCCGTGAGCGCAAAAGTCAAATACGGTAGTATTACAAGACGGCAAGGTGAGCAGGTGAGAAAATAGGGGTTCTTGCCACATCAGACTGGACATAGGGTTCTCGAGTGCAACAGGCATTCCTCTCTTGAGGCAGGCGGTGACTATTAATAGGGAGTGCTTCAACAGAACATTTCCGAGCTGGGCACGGGCAAGACCCTGGGGATCGAGATCAGGGTGCCCGTAAATATTAAGGGGAGATCTGTATCTACCACGGCTGGCCACTGACCAGGTGCTGCAAGGTGGCGCGATCCATATGCCGTGCACAGCACCACATCCGATCCACCCTATGAGGATACGAACGAGACGGATGTCAGACAAATCAAGCCACGGATCAGATCTAATATCGATAGAGACTACACCATATTCAGTACTCGATCGAATTTTGCTAGCCACACTGCCGTCACCGGCGAGAAGATCAAGAAACACCTGAGCACGATTGCGGCCTCTGCGGGCTGCATCAAACAACTTCTGCATACGCTTGCGGAGGGATGAGAGGGGCAAGGAATCACTGGGCTGATATGTGTCACCTGCTGGCCTCTTGCTCACCACGGCTTGTCGGGGCGCCGCGGGCGGGGCGGCAGGCGGCCTCGGCCTTGGAGCGTCAAGGCCCACTGGTCTGCGACCGCGGCGCCGAAGGCCTTGACCGACTCTGGCGCCAGCTCCAGCTCCGCGGTGTACGGAGCGGCTCGGCTGTACCGCTGGGTGCTGGTCGCGCTGGTGTGCCGAAGACGGGCCTGCACAGCCTCGAGGCTCCGCGCCCCGCTGGCGATGTCCCAGCTCGCCGAGCCGTGTCGCACCCGGTATGGGTGCGGGTCCCTGAGGTTGATCATCTCCGCATACTTCTTGAAGAGCTGGCCGAAGCGCCTGGCGTCGAGGTCCCACAGGGGCGCCCGGGCTGGGCGTTCCCGTAGGCGCGTTAGGGCAGTGCCGAGCGCCTTGGAGCCTGCTGGCGTGAGCTGGACCCCCTCGTCGAACTGCTTCCCTTTGCTGCGAAGGCCGGTCTCCTCTGGGTACAGCAGCAGGCTCCACGCGTAGATCTCCATGCGGGGCTGCGGCGGCACGAGGGACGGGCTTCGCAACTGCATCAGGTCGCTGGGTAAGCGGAGGGCGGTGTCCCACGCCAAGCTGAGGGCCTCTGCGAACTCCGACTCGCCGTCCAGCATCGCCAACCCTATCAGGCAGAAGACCGCCTCGCGGACCAGCGGCTGGCGCGCGCGGGCCGGGGCGAGCAGGCGGAAGCCCTTCAGAGCGGCCCTGCTGGCCGCCAGCTCGGCCTCGCCCACCGCCGCGGGGCGGAAGTGCCGGACGGCCGCGATCGTCTTCGACGCGACGTCCGACGGCATCCCGTCGAAGTAGAGCACGTCCATGTACTCGCTGATGGCCTTGTCGATCTCGCTGGCGGTCTGAACGGGCACGGCATGCGTCTGGCACCAGTTGTCGAAGTTCCGGTACGAGGTCACGAAGTGCACGTTGGGCGAGGCCCTGATCTTGCGCGCCTGCAGGTACGTGAGCGCTGTCCCGGTCGGCTGCACCAAGGTAGTGGCGCGTGCCGTCCTGGTCCGCTCGGCTGCCAACCTCGCCCTCCTCGCTGTAGCTTTCTCCGCTGGGGCTGGAGTCGCTCGAGCTGGCCGTGGGCTCCGACTCCGAGTCGCTGTCCGAGGAGTCGCTCGGCTGCATGCCGATGCCCCCCCGGTGGAGCCCGAAGCCCCCGGCCAGTGCCGCGGGCGCCGCGGCGTCGCCGAGGCCGGCAAGGCCTGGGTCGCGCCGCCGCGGGCGCCCTTCTGCGGCGAGCGCCTCCGCAGCGGCTCGCCATAGCGAGCCATCGTCGGGCTCTGGTGCAGGGCGGCCTCCGAAAGAGCGGAGGTCGAGGCGGGCGTCCTGAGCCCTGGCTGCTGGGAGTCTCGACGGGGCGTCTGCTGGATTCAACTCTGAAGGGATCCACCGTACTGTGATATCGATATTGGCGAAGATGGCGATCGCAGCGAGCCGACGAAGCACGAGGTTGAGCGACGGCACCGAAGATCTCCCCTGCCCTGATGCGAGCACCAGCCCCATGCTGTCGCATAGCAGCAGCAGGCGACGCCCATGGTTGGCAGTGTTGCGAACGAAATGGCGGACCCCATGACCAGAGCCTCCCCCTCCAGGATAACGATGTCGGCGGCCCTGTTGAACCGTCCATAGAAACAACCCTTCCAGTCTTCTTGAGAACCCAATATACTCTTACCGATCTCGTAAAACTTCTGCTCCTCCTCCCAAGTGATGACGTATAGATGTTGTGGCGGCGTCGATGATGAAGGCTCGTTGACATATACTCCCATCCCAGATGGCGGTACGTTGTGATGCTGCACAGGAGGAGGATGATCCTGCGCAGCAGCGTCGTGAGGGTCATCCTTGAGGCCGAGCGCTGATGCCCGAGCCCCTAGAAAGTCGAGAGTCTTGAATCTCCACTTCTCGCTGAGCTGAAGAGCGGCGGCCACGGCGCAGCGAGGGACTTCGCGGCTGACCACGCCGAAGCCCCCGCGGTCGCCAGCGGCGGCCGACTCGAGCCCTGGCGGCGCCAAGTCTGGGTCCATGCTGCGGCCCTGCCGTGCGCCGCCAGAGGCATCGGTAGCCAACGCAGTGGCGGCGACCGGCCGACGCAAATCTACAAAGGCCATCGCCACCAGTGCCGCGCCCAGCCTGAGCTCGTGACGTACAGTAGCCCAAGGCCGCCGCGCCATGTCCCCGGCCTTCTCCGCGAAGGAGTAGCAGGCGGCGAAGACGGACAGCAGTGGCCTCCTCAGCATGGCTGCCCAGGTGTAGTGCCCCAGGAGCATGCGCATCTGCACGCCGGTAAGCTTGTCGGCCTCGGCGGCATGCTGGAAAGCCCGTCGGATCCTCCAGATCCGACTGCGCGAGAGGGAGATCCGCCCGGACCCCTTCTCGAAGATGAGCCCGGTGAACGGCTGCTCGTCCTGTGGCAGCTCCATGTCCTTGGTGACCAGGCCCACTGCGAGGAGGGATTCGGCAATCGTACGACAGTCCTGCACGGTCTGCGCGCTCTGCGTGCCAATCACTGCGACTCCGTCGACATACACCGCGGCAGCGGTCTGGCCGACCAGGGATGGAGTCGCCCGCTTGTCTTCAATAATACGGGACGGCGGGTAACCAGCACGCTGCACGCACTGTGTGACCATCTCTTGGCAAAAAAACAGTGACCAATTCCAACCCATAGGCAGAACGATGAGCAAGGGAGAACATGTCACGTCCCCGCCGATGGCGATGTCTGGCCGAAGTCGGCGAAGGACACCGCAGTCCAGCGGGGGTAAGACGAAAGCCTCTTCCATCCCGGGAGGTGCACGCATGCGGTAGAAGCAAGCCTCCACGTCAACTTGCGAGAGGCACAGCTCGTCATTCGGCTCCAAGAGCAACCCCTTCCAGCAGCCAGCCGTAGGCAGCGCCGTGTGCGCAGGAGGCTCGAAGAGCTGGTTGACCCGACGCGTGTCAAAGATAAGCCGCAACTTCCCATCCGACTTGGGAACGAAGAAAATACCGAGAGTAGATTCACGCAATGAGCCGAACTTCACCAGCCCGGCGTCGTACAAGTCAGCCACGAAGTGGGCGTAGCTGGACTTGCTCTGCATCAGCTTCGCGTCGCAATGCGGCTTCACGGCGGAGAAATCTGGGCTCTTCCGCAACAACCGTTGCTGCCACTCCTCCCAAAGGTCGAGCGCCTCGCCCTGCAAGATGCTGGCGCCATCGCACTTGGCGCCGGGCGAGGGCAGCGCGACGAGGTCGCGCTGGAAGGCGGCTGGCTTCACCGGCGTCGATGTGTAGCCGGGCTTGCTGGCGCACAGCTCCTTGAAGGCTGCCGCGCCGGTGATAGTAGGAGCCCCGATACTTTGAACAGCAGCTCGCACATGGTCAGAACCAAAACTTTGCCCTAGAGTGGGCGGGCATCCAGGATCAGCGCCCCCTCGTCCGTGGAGACAGTTCAGCGCCTGATGCGCCTCCATGCTCCGCCCGTCGACGTGCCGGTGGCGGAGTAGACGAGACCGCACGGTACGACAGCACGAGCTGGGATGCCCGCTGCTGCCGAGGGGCGCCTGCGGGAGCGGCACAGGAAGCAGCTCCCGAGGCGCAGGCATGGCGTTGTCACTTGGCTCCGCGGCCGCCGGTATCGCGGCCGCCTGCAGGGTCTCCTTTACCCCCTTGCTGCTGAAGCCGGCGAAGCTCCGCAGCTTGACTCTCGACCTTCTTGCGAAGGCTCTCCTTCGTGTCGCCATCGGCGCCAGTGCCCTTCGCGAGCTGGCGCTCCTCCCTCAACTTCCTCTTCTCCTTCATCACCTGGCTCTCCCGGTGCAGCTCCGTCGAGATGTGCTCCACCAGGAATGGGGCCATCATGATGAGGCCCCTCGTCTCCCCCGTGCCCATGTAGAGGTGCTCGTCCTCCGCCGTCTCATCGGCCCGGCGGGGCGCCAGGCGGTCGCGGTATCGCCACTCCGCCATCTGCGCCCGCCGGGCCAGAAGCTCGAAGCTCACGAGCGCCCCCACGTTCACCTGATCGTACACGAGACCGAACTCGAAGGCCCGCATGGCAACTTCATGATCAGCCACCCCCGGGTCCGACTGTGTGAGCCCCGTCTCGTGCAACCACTTGGTGTGACGGGCCCGGGGGTGGCTGTCCTGCTCCGCGATGAAGCGGACGCACCAGGCCGCCGTGCGCGGCCCCAAGAGCGGCCACCCCGGCCACGGGCTCTCCGTGACCTCCAGCACGGCGTCCCTGAACAGCGTCTTGCGGATCCCGCTGCTGTCCTTCGCCATCGCAAGCAGGCGGTCGTCTCGGATGACCTGCACGACGCCATCCTTCGGGTCGAGGGCCCTGAGGGTGTACACGCCGGTGCCGACCACAGCGATGGCCATGTCATCCGAGCGCGCGAACTCGTCCACCACGGAGTGGGGGAAGAGGCCGTCGATCTCGGACTTGTTGGGCCCAGCCGTGACGTACCAGCGCAGTGGCTTCACCTCCGGGAGCCGTTCACTCCCAGTCACTATATTCACCAAATCCGTAGGTGTCTGCGCTGCTGCCCCCGTCGGAGGAAGCGGACCCTTCTTGGACATCCTGCGCTCGGGCTGGAGCTGTGGGGCCACCGCTTCCATCGCGCCCACCAGCTCCAGCGCGGTGGGCACCCACTCGGAGCCGTACACCGGTCTCCCGCCCCGGCGGAGCCCAGACCTCAGCAGCACGCTCCCGTCGTTGTCCAGAAGCTCGTAGCCGCGCAGGTCCGGGGCGTCCACCAGCACTGGATAGACGTCGAGGTCCGGGCTCAACAGGTACCAGATCTTGCCGTCGGCCTCCTGCTGGGCGCTCGCCTCTATCTCCATGACGTCGCTGAGATCCTTCCGTGTGGCTGGACCAACGACGATGCGGGCCTGCCAAGTCCCGCCCCCTCCCCACTGTAGGTTGAGGCGGCGCCCGACTCGCAGGGCACTGCTGGACATAGCAGCACGTACACAGCACACCCACCAGGAAACCGAAGGTCGCGACCAACAGTAGTGCAGCAGGAGCCCACTGTGCGCCCAACTCCAGTACGGCGCAGTCCGTCACTTGCTGTGCGAGGCTGCTGATGCCCCCTGCAGCTCCGATGAATCCACTGAAGTTTGTCCCGACTATGGCTCCGAGCGAAGTGACTAGGCCTCTCAGTCGGGAGTACATGTGCCGGCCGTCGAAAAAAGAGCTTGAGAATAATGCCAGCGGACAGTGGCATTGACGGCAAACGGGATGGCAGGACACGGAAGTTTGAAAACGCCGCCATACACACATACACACATACACACATACACATACACACATACACACATACACAGATATACACATACACACATACACACATACACACATACACACATTCACATTCACATTCGCATTCACATTTACACACACACACACACGAATCGACACAAATCCCAGGATCCCCCATTTTCCCACATAGTTTCTGAGTTTTCGTCTTCTCCCCACTTCCCATCTGTTCCCACCTTTCCCCGGGAATCGACGATTATTGGAGTTTATGTGAAATTTTGCCCCTCTCGAGATAGAGGGGGCCTGGCTCAGGGGGAGAAGCGTCGACCTGGATACATCGACGATAGACCGGCGCTGCGCCCCGCGCGATACATCGACGATAGACCGGCGCTGCGCCCCGATGGCGACCCTGCATGGTCCTGGGCGGGGTGGGCTGTCGGGGCCCTGGTGGCGATCCCTGGGCGACTGCGGGCCGATGCGCTCCCCTCTGAACCTACTCCCCCCCCTTGGCGTTGCCCCTGATCGCCATCGCGGTGGCCAGCAGCTGCTGGTCCGGAGCCATTGACTCCAGTCGTGCCGAGCTCAGCGTCGCGAGCCCATGCCGCCATTGCCTCTCGGCAGCGCGCGCACAAGGGTGTGGAGGGAGGGGGGGGGCTTCTTAGGAGGTTGCATCAAAGAAAGCGCCGGGCCTACAGTGCGGGCGCGGCCGCAAGAAACCTTCGCAAGAAACCCAACCATGAAACCTGAACGCAGCAACTTCTGCAACGTCTGCGGGAAGTCACCGCGCAGCGCGCGGAGCGAAGAAAACCAGGGGACCCTGACGCAGAGCATGTGGTTTTTTGATGCGCGCCCCCACTGTATATCTAGAGATAAGGCCCGCGCATTCAAAGAGGCAGGGGTGCTTCTCGGAAGCCCCCCCCCCCTTCCCCCCCCCTCTGCGCGTGGCCGAGCCTCGGCGGCAGACAGGCCGAGGCGCTGGTGAGGAGGAAGCTGTCCAGCTGCAGGCCAGACGCCAGCACGCTGCGGAGGAGGAGCTGCGCCTCTGGAAGAAGAGAAAGGGCATGAACACAAACTTTTGGGCGCTCCGCGCGGATTTCTTGGATCTGGACCCCCCTCCCTGGCGCGCGGAGCGCGCCAGGGGCGGCGCCGGAGGCGCCGCCAGGGGGTGCCCAGGCGCCGATCCAAGAAACCCGCGCGGCGCGCCACAAGTTTATGTTGACGGCGTTTTTTCTTCTTCGAGCCTCCCTCCACAGCTTGGCGGTCCCCAGGCTCTTGAGCGCGATGGTGACGTCGGTCGGCCGGACCAGAACCTGGGCCAAAACCAAAGCGGTAGCCGTGGCCCGCCGTGGGGAGGCCACCGCCGTGCTTTTGGGTGACCCAAAAGGGGGTCCAGCTGAGAGGGGGTGGTGAAATGGATTTGGGGCAAGTGTATTGCAAACGTATTGCGCCGGAGACTTGTGTTGCATTGTCCTGCAAGTAATGCATTGCACGCGAGAGTACAGCAGTACACTTGCGCCCCGGAATATATCGCACGCCCCAAATGTTCTTCAACCCCGCAAATCTATTGCACCACCCCCTTGTCGCTGGACCCCCTTTTGGGACAGCCCGAGTGCTGCTGCCGAAGAGGCACCCCGCCTCTGGCCAGAGAGTACACGAAGGCCCAGCACGTCATCGGGCTCCCAACGGCGGCATGCTCCTCCGATTCACGCAGGGGTGACCCTGGGCAGGAGCGACCGCTAGTGCGCGGCATTCGGGGGGCGTGGGGGGGCCCACATCCGAGCGCGCAAGCCACTGATGCCGCATCGCACTCCGTGGTCGCGAGGCCCCAGCAGGCCCGCACCAAAGGTCGCTCGGGAGAAGGGTCGCTCTAACGTGCAGCTGCTCTTCTTCCAGCCAGCAGAAGATCCACCCACAGAATCAGCACCTCGACGAGCGCAGCCGTTCAGTGGACGCACCCAAGGAAGTCTGGAATAGGGCAGGGCTGCTCAGGGAACGCACAGGGCCGTGTGGCCAACGCCAGTCTTGGCGGGGTCGGCTTGGCCTCTCTCCTCCCCTGCTCTTCCCCCTCCCCGAGAGCACCCCGTTCCACTGCAGCCTGGTGACCAGGCGGCGGATGCCGGCCTCCTCCCGCGGGCAGGCGCGCCCCAGCTCGCGGAGCACCGCCAGGCCTCCGAAGCGGGCCCCCTCCAGCAGCTCGTCGAGGCCCCGGCCGCGCGGCGGGGCCGTCGGGGCCGCCAGGCCGCGGCCCGGCCCGCCGGGTGGGCGCGCGGCCGCCAGGCCACCGCCGCCGCCACGAGCACGCGGCGGCTCCCCCGGCATGGGAGAGGTCCGAAGGCGAGCCTGTCCCGCGAGCTGAGCCAGCCAGGCGACGTATGGTGAGGACGAGGACGAAGGTGCTGGTGGTGGTGGTGGTGGTGGCGGCGATGAGAAGGGAGGTGGGAGGAACGGGGGAGGGGCGATGAGGAGGGCGGAGCATGAGGAGGAAGAGGAGGAGGCGGCAGAAGAATGGAGGGGGTCCAGCGGGAGCAGGAGCGAGAGCAGGACGAGGAGCAGCAGGTGAGGAGGAGGAGCTGTGCGCTCCGTGTGAGCAGCACGGCACGAGGACCCAGCCTTCACGGGAAGGCCCTGGCTGTGGGAGTGGGCGTGCCGCCGCCGGGCCCACGTCCACCGAGGTCCAACGTGTGCAGGCCACGCAGGGTGACCCGACTGGGCAGACTGACCGCTGTGCGTCATGGGCGGGGCGCCTTCCGTCGCTGGCACTCCCTGGGCGGCAGACAGGGGGGCGGAGGGGCGAAGGGAGGGGTGCGGATAGGCCCGCGGGCCCAGCTGCCCCCCACGATGGGCGACAACATGGACCCTCTCCCCGCACTGCTTGCTCCTGCTCTTGCTCCTGCCCTTCCTCCCCCTCCTGCCTCCTCCTGCTCCTCCTCCTCCTCTTCCTCCAACTCCTCTTCCTCCTCCTCCTCCTCCTCCTGTGCTGCTGCTGCTGCTCCTCCTCCTCCTCCTGATACTCCTGCTTCTGGCCACCGTCGTCAAAGAGAGGTGACAAGGCGTGGCGTGCAGCCTCCAACAGCACGAGGATGGGGTCCCGATACGACGACGGCACCAGCTCCGAGAACAGTGATATCTTCATGAGCGCCATCAGCGGCACGCTCAGGAGCATGCCCGTGGGGCCCCAGAGGTAGCCGAAGATGCCAACGGACAGGAGTATCATCACCAAAGAGGTTGAGATTGGAGGTTGTGTATTTCCGTGCAGGCAGAGATGAGCATGGCGACAGCTGGGAAGAAATATATCGACCAGTTCGGGGTGATGTCGCACTGAGCATACGAGCCTGGCCAAATTGCCGCCAACGGCCCACACGACATAGAAAGCTGCGAGGCCGCATTCTGGCTCTGTCGATTCGACCCAATGGCCTTTAAAACGACCGTGCAAACTCAGTGGGCACAAATGATCACACACACACACGCGCACATGCATGTCTTTCGTTATCCTCGCTCCTTCGCCACCTCCTCCTCCTCCCCCTCCTCCGCTTCCTCCGCCTCCTCTTCCTCCTCCTCCTCATCCTCCTCCTCCTACTCCTCCTCCTCCTCTCCTCCTCAGCCTCCTCCTCCTCCTCCTCCTCCTCCTCCTCAACCATCTTCCTCCCCTCTCCCACTCCCACTCCTCCCTGTCCCTCTCCTCCTTGCATGCCCCCCCCGCCCCCCCTCCTCTTTCGCCTTTACCTTCGCCTCTGCCTTCCCGTCCTTCTCCCCACTCTCGCCCTCTTTCCCTACCTCCCTCGCTGCCCTCCGTTTTCGTTCCCCCCTCCCCTCCCCTCCCCGCCCCCCCTCATCCTCCTCTGTCCACGCAGGCGGCACGACAGTGGGAGGCATCTACCTGCAGACACGCGCGTAATCGCTGTGGTGGCAGGATGTGTCCTGAGACATGGTGCAGGGTCGAGTCTTCGTTTTTTCTTTCCTCCTCCTTCTCTCCCTCTGCTTTTCTCTCCCTCTGCCCCTCCCCCTCCCTCAACCTCTCCTCCTCCTCCTCCTCCTCCTCCTCCTCCTCCTCCTCCTTTGGACTTTGAGCTGCTGACTGATCTGTGCAACACGGCACTGGAACCCTCGCAGCCCCCCAACCCCGTGGCGCCAGCTGGAGGGCAGGAACAGACATCGAGAGGGAAGGCGAGAAGGAGGGAACGACCGATCCGCGGACACCGAGAGCAGCACCCGGCCCTCCTCCTTCACCCCTATCATCTTCCCCGCCCCTCCACCTGCCTCTGGCGGGACGAGGGGGGGGGGGGCCCTCTCGGGCCTCTCCGAGGCCCTCCCGGAGGGCCCCTTCCAGCGCGGGCGGGCACCGGCAGCGCCCGGCGAGTGCAGGCCGACCCGCTTCACGAGCCGGCCTCGCGGTGCCCCGGGCTCTGCTGCACCGGCGCCCCTCCGCGGGGAGGTCTGCCCGCAGCGGCCGCGGCTCCGCCTGCCCCGTCCCCCGCGGCGCCCACGCAGACCTTCCGGGTCGCCGAGCTGCCTCCCGGCCTCCCTGCGGCACCTCGCGCGCAGCATCGGCCAACATCTCCTCCTTTCGACGCCAGTCACGGGGCAGAGCGCATATCGCACCTCTGAGCTTCTCTGGGCGCCTTGAGAACGGGGCGAAGGCCCAGCAAGAGACGTCGCCCCAAACTGACAGCGGCCACTATTGGGCGGGCGCCTCCTGTCACTGGCGAGCAGCGTTCGCAACAAGGTCAGCAACGACTCCTGTGCAACGTGGACAAGAGCTGCTGGTCATTGTCCCCATTCTTTCTGTCTCCTGTTGGGCACTCCATTGTGCGGAAGGGAATACTCATACAACAAACGTCTAGCAGCTTCCTGGAAAACGCTCATCCCCTCGCTATTCCTCCTTTTCCATCTCGTCATGGGATGAGGGGGAGACGAGGGAGGAGGGGGAGGAGAAGAAGGCTGAAGGGAGCTCGCACTCAATCATCCCAGCCAGACAGAGACACGCCGCATGGAAAGGTGATTCGGATGCTGCTGAACTCTCCCCCTGATCCAACCTCACGGTCGCGCTCTGCTTAGTTGCAGGTGCGTCGCCGCGCCGTGGCAAAATCTACACGACGAATCAGTAATGGCCGCGCAATCGGATTCGAAGGCCGCGTTGATGAACAGATCTCCCGGGGCACGGCGTTTCATACACGAAGGCCAGGCTTGCTCGGAGCGGAGTCGACACAGCGGGAGGGCGTCTCAATGCTCGGCGCGACTGTCACCTGGGTCACCTACCTTCCCGAAATTGCGCCCTGCGATGCGCGACGCGCTGCTGCTCTTGGGCTCTCTTGCGCCGCCGCTCTGCGGAAGGGCACCTTTGCTGCGCAGGCCTCAACATTTCTCCATCTTGCAAGGGTGACGAGGACGAGGAGGAGGAGGAGGAGGAGGAGGAGGAGGAGGAGGAGCAGGAGGAAGAGCAGGAGGAGGAGGAGGAGGAGGAGGAGGAGGAGGAGGAGGAGTTGGAGGAGGAGGAGGAGGAGGAGGAGGAAGAGCAGGAGGAGGAGGAGGAGGAGGAGGAGGAGAAGCGGGGCCGTGAAGTGCCTTTCTCCTCTGTGATCTCTCGAAGTGGATGGATCCGTGAGGGTCCAAAGGCCCGAGGAAGGACGAGGGCGCACCGTCGTGTCTCTGCTGCTCGACGCCCCGATCCGGGGGGCAGAGGGGGGCCCTGAGGTCCGACGTGGAAAAACAGAAGCATGCAGCATCGCAAGAAAAGCCACGACTGGACCCCCGGACCCGATCGTTCGGCGTCATTGTTCGAGCCGGATCGATCCGTGTCCGTCCCGGGGCCCGAAGTGGAGCGAACACGCCCGGCTCGAACAACACCGAATCGCCAGGAGCTCAGGGGAGGCAGCGGGGTCACCGGGTGCATCCTCATCTTCTTGTCGCTCTCGATCAGCTTGACCTCGATGATGTTGCTGAAGGCGAACTTCAAGGCCAACTGCCCTCCCATGGCCGTGACCTTCCGAAGCCAGCGGGCGCACGCCGGGGGCAAGACGAAAGATGCGGAAAGAGGTGGAGAGGAGGAGGAGGAGGAGGAGGAGGAGGAGGAGGAGGAGGAGGAGGAGGAGGAGGAGGAGGACGATGAGAGGAGTCGGAGGACGAGGACTAGGAGCAAGAGGAGGAGGACGAGGACGAGGAAGAGGATGAGGAGGATTTTACCGCTTCGCGCTCTCACGCATGGGGGTGCGTCCAGGTGGCCGCCGAGTGCGGCCAAAAGCCGCCTCTACGCGCTGGCCGGGCGGCGCGCAAGACAGCTGAGGCACCCTGCCTGCAGGCGACTGCAGGCCATGTACAGTCGACCTTGTGACAGCGGTGCCAATGCCTACACTGACAAGCTACGCAGGCCACACGACAGGGCATGCCCCGGTGGCCAGGCCAGGAGACTGCGCCCAAAACGTGCTGGCGAATAGAGCCGCCCACGGGGCCACAGTAGGGGATCTCAGAATTTGATCTCCCCCGTGCCCCAGGGGCACAAGCACACGATGCGACCGCCTCGCCAGGCCCACAGGGCACAGCCCACAATGCACAGGCAGCGGTGGCAGGTGGCCGCTGCTTGCCACCCTCTCCACCCTAGTAAAGAGAAGAGGGCGCTGGCACGGCGAGAGCCGCACCAGCCGCCTGCCAGGAGGCAGGAGAAGGCGAGCCCGACTGCTCGCGAACGGCACACACCAGGGCCCGCCAAAGGGAAGGCAGCCTGGAGAGCCGACTAGCCCTGAGAAGGCCGCGAAACAACGGCGTAAATTCGCAACGCTGCCGCGCTGCTGCGACGGCACGCGGCGTGCAGCTATATGCAGATAGATGCCGCGCAAATGAATGCAAGTAGCTGGAGGAGGAGGAGGAGGAGGAGGAGGAGGAGGAGGAGGAGGAGGAGGAGGAGGATCGGGGAGGACGAGGATCGGGGAGGACGAGGATGGGGGAGGAGGAGGAGGAGGAGGAGGAGGAGGAGGAGGAGGAGGAGGAGGGAGGAGGATGAGGAGGAGGAGGATGAGGAGGAGGAGGAGGAGGACCTCCTTTCCTTCCTCCTCCTCCCTCTTCCTCCTCCTCCTCCTCTTCCCTGATCAGCTCTTCCTCGTCCTGGCCCCCTGTCCTTCTTCTATCTCTCCCCACCCTGCCGGCTCCCGAGCTCCAGCCTGCCCGCACGCGGAGAGGGAGGGGTGGGCGGCGGGAGCGGCCAGCACCAGGAAGGGCCGCTCGATGCGGCTGTCGAAGAGGATGACGGGGCACGGGAGCACCATGGCCACGAACGGCCCCACCTGGTGGTGACGATAGCGGTGATGGCGAGGAGGAGGAGGAGGAGGAGGAGGAGGAGGAGGAGGAGGAGGAGGACGAGGATCGGGGAGGACGTGGATGGGGGAGGAGGAGGAGGAGGAGGAGGAGGAGGAGGAGGAGGAGGAGGAGGAGGAGGAGGAGGAGGAAGGTGATGGTGGCGATGGTGGTGATGGTGTTGGTGGTCCGTTCGCCACTCGGATGTCAGGGCTTGGTTGCAAAGTCACGGAGAGCCCGCCTCTTCTTGGCGATGACGCGAGCCCTCGCGGCCAGGAGGCGCGGCAGCCTCTCGCCCTCCCCATCTGTCTAAGCGCACAGAGAATATGATGCCGTGCACGGTCAGGGCAGGACTGCAGCGCTTCCGAAGACAAGTGGCGACGCGTACACGGCAGCAACCTATCATCGGGCGACCAATCGCCACTTGTGGGACCCAAAACCCAGATAGCAGGGCGCCAGAGAGGCGTGCGAAGGCCTGTGGAAGGAGCTTGGAAGCTGTGGGAAACACTTTCCGAAGGACCTGGAAAAAGCTTCCGACAGACCTTCTGGAGAGTTTCTGGGCAGATGTATTGGGAAACGCTGAGAAAAGGTCTTCTGGGACATATTGCAATCCCAAGCAAGGCGCGCGGAGGTGTCCTGCTGGAAGCGGGAACGAGCTCCAGGGCTACCCTGCGGCTCCGGCTTCTTAATCTCAAATCCTCTTAGCTCTCCAAGGAGCTACCCGGGGATAATCGGCGGGGGAAGAGGGAACGAGAGAGGGCAGCATCGCAAGGATGGCGGGACAAGAGAAGTAGTGCAGGACGTGGTCGTTACCCATCGCTTGACAACCAAAACGACAGGCCTGGCGCCTCTGCTTACATCCCGCTTACATCTCTGCTTGCATCTCTGCTTACATCTCGCGGAGGTAGGCAAAACATGCAAACTGCGTAAGAAGAGACGCAATGTGCACATGAAGATAATGTCATAATGTTTGAGCTGTACACGAGGCCCGAATCGTCGGATCCTAAGCACGAGGGCGATAGAGACTGCAGGGGACCTCGCATAGGCAATGCACTCGATAGATTTGCAAATTTCTTCTGGAGGATGTGCCTGAGGGACCGCTTGGAGCCTTTCGAAGAGCGCGCGCCGCGAATTGGGGGCAACTTCCTGGGCCAAGGGAGCCGGATGGGCAACCAGGAGCCGATCAATCTCTTCGTCCCGGAGATAGCGCCAGCGATTCTTCGGGGGAAGGCTTCTGACCTCAAGCACACGCGATGCAGGGCAGCTTGGTCCTCAATCGCAACACTCCGAGGCTTGACAGGAAGGCCGATTGTGTCAGCGTTGCCCAGCACGGCGGATAGAATCGCCCACCTCGTCCCTGCGGTAAGGAACTGATGGGCATCGTGCTCGGCGCGGGTGACAGTGTAGAAGAGGGAAGGCAAAGGTGTGGCAGGCATCTATGTTTTGGGTGAGCCCCAACGCCAGCCCGCAGATGCAGTGGAGCCTCGTCCTGGGCTTCCCCGGGGGCCCATGCCCACTCTCTGGGGCCCCGCCAAGACCCACGAGCATGCCCAGACAACGCGCCGAGGTCCCGATGAGAAGCAGAGATGCACGTTGCCCAGCTCCCTGAAGGAGGGCGATGGCCGAGGCCTTTCCCAGGGCCCGGGGGGGCTCGAGGGAAACGACATACAGCACTTCTTGGGATGCAGGAGGGGGCCTGCGACCCGGGCGGCCCGCGTCAACACCTCCGCGGCGGCCATGGGGCCGAGCGCGGAAGCTCCCTGCGATCAGCTCCGATGTCGCCAATCAGCGCGAAGGGCCTGCTGTCAGGTCGGGCGTGTCCCCCTACAGGCGGGTTTTGGACGAAAAATGAAACATAGCCAACAAAAATACACCGAACATCGTCCCCAGACTATTTTTTGCCAATCTTTGAAGATTCCCCCTGGTAGAGGGAGAGGCCCTGCGCAAGCCTGCTGGGACATGCGGCCCCAGGGGCTCTCTCGAGCTGGCGGGCGGCGGGGTCGGGCCACACGGCGAACGTGACGCCGCTCCTCGGGCAAAGACCCGCGACGCCCCGCTTGAGGGGGTGCGGTGGCCGCCGCCGACCTGGCCCCCTCGAGAGCGACCTCCGCGACCACGCTCCCAGGCCAAGTGCTGCTCGCAGGGAGGGGCACTCCTCGCTCTGCCAGGCAGCCGATGACCACACAGCGAGTGTGACGCCGCCCCTCGGGCACACCCGCGCCGTCCCGCTTGAGGGGGTGCGGTGGCCGCCGCCGGCCTGGCCTCCTCGAGAGCGCCCTCCGCGACCACAGTCCCGTGCAGGGTACAGTCCCGTGCTGGGCCAGCTTCCCGGACATCTCTTAAGGCAGGCCTGGCCAAGTTATTGTGTCCACGCTGGAGGGGCGACTGCGCTCAAGAAGCCGAGCCAGCTTTCCGGCAAGTTGGCTCGGAGACGCTGGCCCAGCTTCTCGAGAGAAGGTTTGTCAATCAAATGCTCGACTGTGCTGTTCGCATGGAGGAGGCACCAGAGCACTTCTCTGCCAGGCAGCCGACGATCCCGCGCGGCGGGCAACCAGCAGCAGTGTCGAGAACGACAGGAACCTGCTCTCGGACCCCCCTGGAGCGAGGAGTGAGCGATCCACGCGGATGCCATTCCCAAGATGCGGTCGTTCATGCTCCGTTGTTTCCACGCAGCGTTTCGGGCTCCAGAGACGGATGACAGGGCCTGGACACAGCGGAGACAATCTCGTTGCCGCAATTGGACATGGTGACGGACCGAGTCGACTCGGCATCGCGAGATCGACCTGTCATCGGACTCCTTCCCGCGACTACCTCCACGAGCTCCTCCATCATCGTGGGAAGAAAGACCGCAACACAATTGTTAGTCCCCTCCATCATCTCGTTGCAGTCGGTGAAGTAGGAGCACACGTCGAAAAGGCAATCGCGGCACACCTCCCGCCCCGCCCTGCCAAGCAACATATCCTGCGCCGCCGGGGCCTGGGGCACACTCGCATATTGCCGGCATAACACCAAAGGCTCGCTCTAGATGAGGCGCCGCTCGATCCCTGAAGGACCTGTTGAACATCCAGGAAGAACCAATACTCGTTGGCCTCGGTCTCGGAACCTCCAGGACAACCAAACAATGGAACCTGGACTCGGTCTCCTCCGCCGCGGTGTCCATCTTGAACTCTCACGTCTGGGTCGCTCCCTGCGCCTCCATGACCGCTCTTGTCAGCTTTGTCATCGCCTCCTTGGCCTCGTTGGCTTGGACGGCCATACATGTCTGCTGGACCTTCAGCAGCTGATGGGTGCGCTCGAGCGTGGCCGCCATCCTGAAAGTAAGCGGTCAGCCTGAATGCCTGCGGCGGCTTGGGTAGTTGTCCTGCAGGGATCGTGCAGGGAATCCTGAAGGCGACGCCTTGGCCCAGCCCTTCGGCAATGTCCAAGCTCTAGCTGCCAGGGAACGCGGTTAGAACTTGCTCCCAAATAACCACGGATGGTGATGTTGATGATACTGATGCTGCTGATGATGATGCCAAGTATAATGATAATGGTGATGGTAATGTTGGTGCTGATGATGCGGATGATGATGATGGTGATGATGATGATGAACATGCTGCTGATGATGTTTATGAAGCTGATGCTGATGATGATGCTGCTGATGATGATGATGTTGATGATGATGCTGATGAGGATGATGATGACGGTGATGATGATCATGCTGATAAGGATGATGCTGATGATGATGATGATGACGATGACGATGACGATGACGATGATGATGATGATGATGATGATGATGATGATGATGATGATGATGATGGTGATGATGATGATGATGATGATGATGATGATGATGATGATGATGATGCCGGACGGGGCACGGGAGCTCCATGGCCACGAGGGGCCCCACCTGGGCGGGCGTGGGCCGCTGCCAATGGTGCTGCGTATGTTTCCTTCGAGCGCATGCCGCCACTGGTCCTCCCGGCGCGGGCTTCTCCTGACAGACTGGACGAAGCTGTGTTCAAACCGCCTATATACAGTCGGACCTAGGCCACAATCACATCCCTCAAAAGCATGAAGCCATCCGTCGGCCAATGCAGACCGAACGTCCAAAGGTGCCCACCCCGGGATGCAGAAGAACCTCCAAGAATCACGAAGAACATCTGGCACCCTCCCCGAACCGACCTTGATCTTATACCTCGGCCCGAGAGAAACAACTGCATAAACATCAACAGCTAGTGCTTATGGCTTCTTCTTCTTCTTCGACACAGGTTCGGCCCGACGGTCTGCCGGCGACTCCGCGAGCCCCGAAGCCCGCCACAGCAGGGCCGACGGGGTCCTCGCCGGACGCCCCTCGCGGGCGCGTGCTGCCCCTGCCGCGCGCGGTGCCCGCGCGCGCGGCCCCGCGCCCCGCGGGCCCCAGCGGGGCGCCGGGCGTCGCGGCTCCCGCAGGCGCCCCCCCCCCCCCCCTCTGCTCTGCGATGACCTTCCAGGAGGGCCAAGAAATCACACCTGGACCTAGACACCCAAGTTCCAGTCGGGGCTTTAAGCAGTCCAGGTAGGTCTGTAGGTCCAGAGTGCTATTTGTTAGCGCTCTGGGAGGTCAGGGTTGGCGGGGCCTGGCAGGCGAGCACCGCGGACCCAGCGAGCAGGTGCAGCGAAGGCAGGGAGATCCCACCTGCAGGACCCTGAGAGCCTGGCGCCTCCGTTTTTGTCGGGCCGGGCGTTTTTGTCGCCCTTTCCTCCAGGCCCTGGGGCCCTCGCAGATCGATCCGGCTCGAAAGATGACGCAGAAAGATGGGGTCTAGGGCTCCAGGCGTGATTTTTGTTACGATGTTCTCTTGCACAGGGTGTCTAAAGCTCCGACCCCTTTATTTCGGCACGGCAGCCCCTCCATCACCGACACATTCCACCAGCCAGCGCGCCTCTCCGCCCCGACCCCCGTATTTCGGCACGGCACACCCCCTCCGCATCCCCCCACCCACCAGCCAGCGCGCCCCTCCGCCCCGCCCCCTTTATTTCGGCACGCCCCCCCCCGCCCCCCGCGCGCCCCCTCCGCCCCGACTCCTTTATTTCGGCACGGCACACCCCTCCGCCACGACTCCTTTATTTCGGCACGGCACCCCCCCCCGCATCCTCCCCCACCCACCAGCCAGCGCGCGCTCCGCCTCGATCCCTTTATTTCGGCACGGCTCACCCCTCCGCCCCGACCTCTTTATTTCGGCACGGCGCACCCCTCCGCCCCGACCCCTCTATTTCGGCACGGCACACCCCCTCCGCATCTCCCCCACCCACCAGCCAGCGCACCCTCCGCCCCGACCCCTGTATTTCGGCACGGCACATCTCTCTGCCCTGACGCCTTTTTCGGGGCACGGCGCACCCCTCCGCCTCGACCTCTGTATTTCGGCACGGCACACCCCTCCGCCCCGACCCTTTATTTCGGCACGGCACACCCCCTCCGCATCCCCCCCACCCACCAGCCAGCGCGCCCTCCGCCCCGACCCCTTTATCTCGGCACGGCACACCCTCCGCCCCGACCCATTTTTTATTTCGGCACGGCACACCCCCGCCGCATCCCCCCCACCCACCAGCCAGCGCGCCCCTCCGCCCCGACCCCTGTATTTCGGCACGGCACACCCCCGCATCAGCGCGCCCCCTCCGCCCCGCGACCCCTTTATTTTGGCACGGCCCCCACTCCCTCCCCGCGCTCCCCGCGCGCCCCCTCTGTATCCCCCCCCCGCCCACCAGCCAGCGCGCCTCTCCGCCCCGACCCCTCTATAATACGCCTCCCCCTCCCCCCCCCCCCCCACCCACCACCCACCCACTCACTCAAGCCACGCGCCCCATCCGCCCCGACCCTTTTATTTCGGCACGGCGCACCCCTCCGACCCGACTCCTTTATTTTGGCGCGGCACCGCCCCCATCCGCCCCCTCCGCGCGCGCCCCCTCCGCAACCCCCCCACCCTTCAGCCAGACCCCTTTGTTTTGGCGCGGCACCGCCCCCTCCGCCCTGACCCATTCATCTCGGCACGGCACCGCCCCCCACCCCGAGCGCCCCCTCCGCATCCCTCCATCCACCAGCCAACGCGCCCCCTCCGCCCCGAACCCCCCATCCCGAGCGCCCCCTCCATCACCACATTCACCAGCCAACGCGCCCCCTCCGCCTCCTCCCCCTTCCTTTCTGTGCAAGAGCCATGGCGCGCGTGTCAGTTGTTGCGCTTTATTCGCTGTGTCGGCTCTCAGGGGACCCTGCAGGCGAGCCCAGAATCGAATCGATAAGTCGGATCGGCGATCTAGACGAATCGGATCGGCAGAAGTCGGCAGCCGAGTCGGCAGAAATCGAACCAGCGGAAATCGGCAGGCCAATAAGCCTCAATTGAGACATCGGAATCCAATTCGGAATCCGAAATCGAATCGAGTCGGAGGAGTCGAAATGGGTCCTGAGCCTGGGGCAGCCGAGCGGACCCTGCCAATAGCTTCAGCCAGATCCGAGGCCCCATGTGCAAGCACCAGGGTCACGAAGGGTGGCATCGTGCGCTCGAGCGGCGCAAGTGCGAGCCCCTGATTGCAGGCATGTGTCGCTCTCTCTCTCTCTCTCGCGCGCTCTCTCTCTCTCTCTCGCTCTCTCTCTCTCTCTCTTTCTCGCTCTGCGTCTGTCTGAATATAGGTTTCTGTCTCTGCCTCGCTCCCTTCCTCACTCCCCCACCTTTGCTCCCTCTCTCCGAAGGTGATATGATGATGGTATCGTGCTCTCGCCGTGAGCATGCAACGATTAGTTGACCATGAGGGATTGCTATCGGCCCTCTTCTGGCAACTCAACGGCTGCATTCGCTGTCCTCTTGAGCCGCCCTCGCTTCCGTGCTCTTTTTCCTTCTCCTCCTCCTCCTCCTCCTCCTCCTCCTCCTCCTCTTCCTCTCTGCTTCTCGTCTTCGTTTCCCCCTTCCCTCCATCCCCTCTTCCTGGTCCTCTTCCCGTTGCGCTCCTCTGATGAAGGAAATGCGTGGGGGCAACCCCCAAAGCCTCGGGCACATAGTTCAGCGCGAACGTGGTGGCTGCGAAGACAGATGCGAGATCGATCGAGAGGAACGCCTGTCCCCAGCAGAAGGCAGGAAAGAGAACAGGACTGAGAGGAGAAAGGATAAAGAGGTCGAGGATGGGGAACGACCATTCTAATCATGCATCTCCTCCTCCTCCTCCTCCTCCTCCTTCTTCAATGCCTGACAGTCAGGCATGCAAGTAATATCCTCGCTCACTGTGGTACCAAGTGAGCGAAGAGGGGAAGATGGCGCAAGAAGACAAAATTGGAACGGCCGGACCGGGACGAAAAAATGGGTACGATGCCCAACGGACATGTAGTCTAAAACCGAACGTGGTCGGCACCGAGAGCGAGCTTTTGTCTCAAGTGGAGGACGTCCGCGGCGACACAGACAACGAGCCTGGTACACAACGGACAAGAACTGCTGTCGGTCTTTGTCTTTCCATACCCATTTCGATTGTACCGATGTGTGCTGGACCTCAGCGTGTATACTGCCCCCCTTCTGCGTCGTGCATGCGAAGCCCTCCAGATCTTGAGGCAATCGTTCGTAATCTAATCGAATTGCCCCCGTGTTGCGGCCATTTGATCCTGTATCAGACTAGATATCAGGTGCAGCCGGCACCTGACATCGCATCGTCTCCCTCATTGCAAACTCGACGCGAACCTCAACATGAACGGCATATGGCGCTTGCATCTCATGTGGGCTGCGTGATGATACCAACCGTTGACTCCTACCCGATGCTTCAATATGCGGATCCGCTGTCGCCTTCGACAACACCCTGCTCCTCCCCCACCCCTAGAACTTTGCCACACTATTTTCCATCGCCGTCTCCTTCTTCCTTTAGTTATGTATCTCATTATCCTTCTCCTTCGGCGAATATGTTTCCATATCTGTCTCTTCCTTCTCCTCATCTTCCTTGTCATCCTGATTGTGCCTTTCTTTTTCTGCTTCTCATTTTGTTTCTCTTCATCCGCGTACCCATTGTCGCCGTCGTCGTCGTCCCCCTCCTCGAGACAAACACCCTACGTACTATTTCGCCTCCGTCTTGTATGTTTTCAAGCGCGCCTCCATTATCCTTATACTGATGGGTATCCTGTTTCTCTTCCTGCTTCACATTCTGCCCCTCCCGTCTCCAAGAGCGCTCCGACGCACAGGCCGTAGCCAAAGCATGCCAAGGTCTTGAACATGATATACCTCTTCTGGCCCCCAAGGCCAGGGCCAAGTGGCCAATCACCATGAGCTGAATCATTGCCAGAAGCAGGGACGGGTTGGGGTGGTAGGGGGTGTGGAGTCAAAGGGTGCTGCAGGATGTGTGGTGTCAGGGGTAAGAAGATGGGCAGATGCAGAGGAGTCGGCGGTGAGGGCAAAGTGTTCAGTCGGACCTGGGCCAGAAGAACATCCCTCAAGAGCACGAGACCCTCAAGCACACAGAACATCCTAGGATACCCTTCCCAGGCTGCACACGAACGTCCAACACATGCGAACAAACATTGGGGTACCCGGCCCGAGCCGACCTCGATCTTATACCTCGGTCCGACCGTAGGGGAGGACGAGGACGAACACGATGGAGAACAAACGGCCGAAGAGGATGGAGGAGGAGCCGCACCGCACCGCCGGAGCCCTTACTCGGAGTCCTCGTCTGCGGATCGTCGACGCTGCTGCAGCGTCGACGGCCGATGGCGCATGCATTCATCATGTCATACAGTCGGACCAAGGCCAGAATAGCATCATTCAATGAGGAGGGCACTTGCGGAGGGCACTTGCAGAGCACACACATAACTTTACACATTCGACCCCAGTCCACGACTTAGTGGGGCCTTGGACTGGCCACGTCATCTGGAGCCCAACTCGTGGATACACACTTGGGCTGGGGTCCACCCTCGATGTGGGTGCGTCCGAACAGCTCCATGCGTCTTGTGTTTTTCGGGCGGTAATTCGGGAATTGGGGACGAGGCGTACAGTCGGACCTGGGCTAGAAGAACATTCTTCAAGAACGCGAGGCCCTGCGCCGGCCAAAACACACAGAACACCCAACAAGCACGAAGAGCATTAGGGTACCCTGCCCGAACCGATCTCGATCTTATACCTCGGTCCGAGTGTACCTGCGTGTTATCTCGTTGCCTTGAGGCAGTCGGTTTGTCTATCCCTGCAGAGCGCGATAGTTAGGCTACCCCCGTAAGGAACGCTGCACAAGGCACGAGGCCCCTTCTGGGTCCCAAAAGCGCCTGGGTGAACTAGGAGCGCTGGATGAACGACCCCGGAAGGGCCTGATAAAAAATAAGCCCCCTCAAAGCTCGAGCTGATCCTTTATTGACCGTATCGCCTGTACCGTTTACCCCTTCGCCCGAAAGTCAGTGACACTGCCCATGCCGCATGTCATGCAGGGTTGCCAGGGTCAGGATGGAAGGGAATGCACACTTGTACTTTGTGGCTGGATGTCGCTCCGTCCGTCGGGACGCAGCTGCACAGCGAGCCTACGCACCACCGAGGAGCGTTGTCCTTGACCACCCCGAGGAGGCTGTCCACCTAGGGGCGTCAGGCCACGTCGGTGAGGCTATCAGTGATTCCCCGCTCGCATGGGGAACACGCTCCTCAACACCTCTTGGTGCCTGGTACGTTTAACTTCCGCCAGTTCGCCCGAGATCTCGAACTCGTAGCCCGGCACACGCTCGTCGAGTTGCCGCCTTGGTGAGCTGTCCGCGGCACGAGGCCGAGTCGCACTCTCGGCAGTTGCAGGACTTCCTGAGCGCGGCCAGCTCCAAGAAATTCGCGCGGCGCTCGAAGAGGAGCAGTTTGACTCTCTCGCGCGAACGCGCGAAGACCCCCAGGAGCAACGGTCGAGGCAGAGTTGCAGAGACTTCCTGGACGCTCAAGAGCCGTCGCCACAAGATACTGTCACGCAATCGCCGTCACAAATCGCAGGCTCAGCCGAGGGGCAAGGAGAAGGACCATGAGGAGGGCACTTGCCGAGCACACACATACATTCGACCCCAATCCAAGACTTGGTGGGACCTTCGATGAGCCGCGTCATCTGGAGCCCAACTCGTGGATACACACTTGGGCGGGCGACCACCCTCGAAATGGTTGCGTCCGAACAGCTACATGCGTCTGGAAAATTTGGGAATTGGGCGGAAAATTTGGGAATTGGGACGAGGCGTACAATCGGACCTAAGCCAGAAGAGCATCCTTCAAGAACGCGAGGCCCTGCGCCGGCCAAAACGCACAGAACATCCGAGGGCACCCTCCCCAGGCACAGAACATCCGGGGGCACCCTCACCCAGGGTGCACGAGAACGTCCACCAAACACGAAAGACATCAGGGCACCCTCCCCGATCCTACATCGATCTTGTGTACCCCGGTCCGCTCTAGGACCTGCGAGAGAAGATGGAGGGGGGATGTCACTTCCGGAACATGATGTCGATGGACGAGTTCATCGGGACGGGGGAGCACAGCCAGAAGAGAGTGTAGAGCAGCGTCCGCGGGCGCCCGCTTGTGGCGGGGCCGTGCGCGTTGCGCGTGGGGCTGCCCCCCGCCTCCTCGTCCGCCGCCCCTCCCCCTGCCCTACACTCTGCTGCCTCCCCGCCACCTGGGGAAGTCTCCGGCGTTGCGCCCCGTCCGCCCTTTCGACAGGCCTCGGGGTGCGACAGGCAGGATTCATACATAAGCAAAAAGAAGGAGGGGAGGA